GCCTTTGCCCTCGGCGGCTCCTCCGCGCTCATCCGCTTCCCGCGCTCCATGAACCTCGCGGTCAACGCGTTTGTAAAAGCGTTGCTCAACCCGAACGCCACGATTCCTCTCCTGTACCTGAAGGATTTCCCCCGGCCGCAGGATTCGGTGGGGTTGGATTCCGCGACGCTGCTGGGTCCTCTGTTTTACCTGTGGATGCTGCAGCTGCTGTACCCTGTGTTCACGTCGAGCCTGGTGTATGAGAAGGAGAAGAACCTGCGGATGATGATGCGCATGCATGGGCTCAAGGACGGGCCCTATTGGCTCATCTCGTACTCGTACTTCACCATCATTTCCGTCATCTTCATCGCCGTCTTCCTTATCGCCGGCTTCATCGTCCGTAAGTGCTTGTGTGCATTCCTGGCTGTGTGTCTATGGAAGGAATGGGTTCCACTGGCTCTGTAAGGACGGGCCGTACTGGCTCATCTCCTACTCTTATCTCACCATCATGTCTAACATCTGCATCGCTGTCTTCTTTATTGCCGGCTTCATTATTCTTAAGTGTGTCTTCCTGACTGTCTCTCTGTAAGGACGGGCCGTACTGGCTCATCTCCTACTCTTGTCTCACCATCATCATGTCTGTCATCTGCATCGCTGTCTTCTCATTGCCGGCCTCGTTATTCGTAAGCGGCGGTTCCTTTTCCTTTCCCCCGTTCCCTCCTCATTGCGCATTGCTCGCGCGTACAGCCTGATCATCTTCATGCACATCTCCTTCTCCCTCCTCACCTCCTCCGCTTTCTGCCTTCCTCTTGCCCTCTCTCTCCTCCCATTCCCTCCCACCCTTCCAGAGCTAAAGATGTTCACGGCCAATCCGGTCGGGCTGCAGCTGCTAGCCTACGGCGTTTTCATCTTCATGCAAATCTCCTTCTCCGTCCTCACCTCCACCGCTTTCAACAACTCCAAAGTGGCCACGGTCGTCTGCTACTTCTACGTGTTTGGCTCAGGGCTCATGGCTAATTTCCTCTTCCGCCTCTTTCTCGACTCTGAGAGCGCCTCAAGTGAGTCAAAGTCAACTAAAGTCAAACCAGAGTCCAAACCAGTCAAGGCAAGTCAAACAGAGTCAACAGAAGTTAGCAACTCCCAAGGTTGCCACAGTCGTCTGCTACTTCTACGTGTTTGGCTCGGGGCTCATGGCTAATTTCCTATTCCGTCTCTTCCTCGACTCTGAGAGCGCCTCAAGTGAGTCAACCAAGTCAAACCAAAGTCAACCAGAGTCAAAGCAGTCAAGGCAGTTCAAACAGAGTCCACCACTGCCTCTACTCCATTGGGGGCTCACAAACTCATTTCTTTCTCTCACCCCTTCCCCTCCCCCCACCAACAGCCGGGGTGTTGATCGCCCTGCAGCTCATCCCGGCCTTCTCCATCTACCACTGCCTCTACGAGTTTTCTTTGTGGGCTCACAAGCTCATTTCTTCCTCTCTCTCCCCCTTCCCTTCGCCCACCAACAGCCGGGGTGTTGATCGCCCTGCAGCTCATCCCGGCCTTCTCCATCTACCACTGCCTCTACGAGTTCGCCTCGTCAGCATACGACGCGGCCGTGATGAATGGAACCGGCACGCTGACGTGGCAGACGGCCCAAAACGCGGGATTCTTCACAGCAGTCCTCATCCTCGCTATAGAGGCGCTCGTTTTCCTGCTAGTGGGGCTGTATTTGGACCAGGTGGTGGCGGTGGGTAGCGGCGTGCGGAAGCATCCCCTGTTGGGGCTGCAGAAGCTGTTTAAGAAAGGCAAGAGGCAGGACGCGAGGAGGAGCAGTTCCATGGAGGAGGGAGCGGGCGACGAGGATAAACCTGATGTCATGGAAGAGGTACGTTTCTTTTTGGCTGGGGGAATTGACCCTGGTGTGATGGAAGAGGTACGTTCAAGAAGCATCCTCTGCTGGGGCTGCAGAAGCTGTTCAAGAAGGGCAAGAGACAGGACGCGAGGAGGAGCAGTTCCATGGAGGAGGGAGCGGGCGACGAGGACAAGCCAGATGTGATGGAAGAGGTTGGTTCCTATTTGTTTCTGTTCTGCCTTGAAGGGGGGAAAGGTAACTCGGGAGAAGAACACAATAGAACACCATGGTCCCATTCCTCTTTCTCTCCCCTCTCCTCCACTTCGACTCGGCGCCCCCGGCCTCGCCGCACTACTCCACCATCTGCAATCATCTCAGGAAGGTCCACCCCTCTCTCATTCCCTTCCCTTACCCTTGCCCCTCCCAATTTTCCCCCAGTGTTCCTCCCTTCATCCCTACAGCGAGCGCTGGTGGACTCTCTTCTCCACTCGGACTCGGAGCAGCTGCCATCCTCGCCGCACTACTCCATCATCTGCGACCGTCTCAGGAAGGTGTACCCATGCCCCAGTTCGAGAATCATCTCCCTGGTTCCTGCTTCCCTCCTGTGTTGTGGTTCTCCCTCTTCCTACAGCGAGCGCTGGTGGACTCTCTGTTGCATTCCGACTCGGAGCAGCCGCCGTCCTCGCCGCACTACTCCATCATCTGCGACCGTCTCAGGAAGGTCTACCCCGGCCGCGACGGCAACAAGCAGAAGGTGGCTGTGCGGGACCTCTCAGTCGCCGTGGCGAGAGGGGAGTGCTTCGGCATGCTGGGGCCGAACGGGGCGGGCAAGACGACGACGCTGAGCATGATGATGGGGTTCCTGCAGCCTAGCGAGGGAGCTGCGATCATTGAAGGCATGGGGATTGTGGATGACATGGACGCGATTTACTCCATCATGGGCGTGTGCCCACAGCACGAGTGAGTTTCGGTGCGGTTGAGCGTGGTTTGGAGGGATTCAGTGAGGTTTGGACAGGGTTGATTGCGGTTTTGAGGGGTTTGAGAAGGGTTGATTGTGGTTTTGAGGGGTTTGAGAAGGGTTGATTGTGGTTTTGAGGGGTTTGAGAGAGGTTTGGGTGGGTGGAGTGTTTGATTGTTGAGCATCGACGCATGAGACAAATCTAACCTCGTCCGTTTCTAACCCTTGGGCACCTCTTTCCCCCTCCATCCACCCATCCTTCCCCGTTCCCCGCCTCTCTCCTCTCTCCTCTCCATTCCCCAGCCTGCTCTGGGAGCAGCTGACAGGCAGGGAGCATCTGCTCTTCTACGGGCGCCTCAAGAACCTGCGGGGGCAGGAGCTCAAGGACGCAGTGGACAAGTCTCACTCCCTCCTCCATCGCTCATCTCCCTTCCCCTTCCCTCCCTCCCTCCCTCTCTCCCTCTCTCTCTCCCTCTCTCTCCCCTCTCCAGTCTGCTATGGGAGCAGCTGACGGGCAGGGAGCAACTGCTCTTCTACGGGCGGCTCAAGAACCTGTGCGGGCAGGAGCTCAAGGACGCAGTGGACAAGTCTCTCTCCCTCCATTGCTCACCCTCTCTCCCCTCCCTATCCCCCTCCCTCTCTCCCCTTGTCCAGCCTGCTATGGGAGCAGCTGACGGGCAGGGAGCATCTGCTCTTCTACGGGCGCCTCAAGAACCTGCGGGGGCAGGAGCTGAAAGACGCAGTGGACAAGTCCCTCAAGAGCGTGAACCTGCTGGCAGGGGGTGTGGGAGACAAGGTGTCGAGCCAGTACAGCGGCGGCATGAAGAGGCGCCTGAGCGTCGCCATCTCCCTTATAGGCAACCCCCTTGTTGTGTATATGGATGAGCCCAGCACCGGGCTGGACCCCGCTTCCCGGAAGCTTCTGTGGGACGTAGTGAAGGCTGCCAAGAAGGACCGAGCAATCGTGTTGACAAGTGAGTGCCTGCACCGTTTTCTTCACCCTTGCGCTCACCCTTACATGCTTTGAGGCGCCTCACTATTCACCTCTAAGGGCGCCTCAAAAGGCTTCTGTGCTATCGTGCTGGCGAGTGAGTGCCGTCGCACCCACCCTTTTCTCGCAAGCCAGCTCTCAGCTTTTGCCAGCCTCTCATTTCTTCTCATCCTTTCGGCATCCTTCTCCTCGCAGCCAATCGCACCCTCTTCCCGCTTCCTGTCTGCCCGCCCTCCCCTCTCCCTCCACCAGCCCACTCCATGGAAGAGGCTGAAGCTCTCTGCGACAGACTGGGCATTTTTGTGAGCGGTCAGTTCGAGTGCATCGGTAATGCACGCCAGCTCACCACGCGTTACGGCGGGACGTATGTGCTGACGCTTACCACGCCTCTGGAGGAAGAGGAGAACATCGGGCGGGTCGTAAACTCCATCTGCCCGAACGCGAAGCGGATCTACAGCCTGGCGGGCACGCAAAAGTTTGAGATGCCCATGGCTGAGGTGGAAGTTGCAGATGTGTTTGCGACGATTGCATCGGTGCGCGACCAAATGTCGATCAGGGCATGGGGGTTCACCAACACCACTCTTGAAGACGTTTTTATCAAGATTGCCAAGACTGCCCAAGCCACTCCGGTCTAATTATGCTTCATATAGTACTGGGTAGGACTTCAGGAAACAGAAACAAACTGTACACCCGTTTCCTCATTGTCCCCAATGTTATATTAGTGAGGTGTAGCACCTCCATTGCTAACTGTTTCTGTTCCTAAATCTGTAGCTATCTTTGTGTGATATAGGGAAGACAAGCAAAACCGCAGTCCAACCAAGCAACTGCCTTTTATCAACACTTCAGCAGCCTGTGTGTTTTTGTGCCACACAAAATTACCGCAACACTCGATGGTTAGCAGCGCGTCGCAATAGCAACTAGCAATCAACCAACCCACCCCACCAGCATAACCAGTCTACGGTATATTTGAGGGACCTTAACCATACGCAGCAGCGCCAACAGCACCACCAAACCAACCACACCTCCAGCGGCAGCGGGGGGCGGCACGGGGCTCTCTGCCACATCACCAAACTTATCATCATGTCATCAGCTCAATAGCTCATTAGCTCGCAAGCAGTGCCTCGATCCGACGGATGTCAGGCCCAGCAGAGCAGCATCAGTACTAGAGCTACCAGAAGCAGCACCAGCCGAATACGTTTTTTTAGAATTCCTTGAGAATAACTCATTCCTTTTCCACATCAGCTTGCAAGCAGTGCCTCAATCCGACTGATATCAGGCCCAGCAGCATCAGCAGCACCACCAACAGCACCAACACCAACAGCAGCAGGGGGCGGCGTGGGGCTCTTGGCCACGTCACCAAACTTGTCATGCTGCCACCTGTCCTCCCCTCCCCCCTCCCTCTTGAAACTCCTCACTCTCACCGGCTGCTCCTCGTCCCGCCACCCATCATCCAAAGGTGCATGACCTCTTCTCCCCGACTCCACATTCGTGCGAACACGGTCGCGACGGGAGTCTGCTGTGCCTGGGTAAACCTGGTCGCGGCCGTAATAGTAGTGTCCACGGTACTTGGCCGTTTCCTCGACCCAGTCACGTGCCCGCTCCCCACGCTCCCTGCTTCTTTCGGCTCGATCGCTCCTCCTCTGCTCCCTCTCTCTGTCTCTCTCTCCGTCCCTCTCTCCGTCCCTCTCTCCGTCCCTCTCCTTGTCCCTGCCCCTGTCCCTCTCCTTTTCCCGATGCCGGCCAGCCGAAACAGGTCTATCAACCACATAGCGTTCATTGCCCACACCTGTACCATAAGCACCAGCAGGATCAGCACCAGCACCAGCAGCAGCAGCAGCAGCTGAATCGTCCTTTCCACCCTTAGCCACAACAACAAAGCTCCTTCTCTTTGGAACTACATCCCTTTCCCCTCCTCCTTCAACCTCCTTCCTCCCCTCTTCAAACTTATCATGACCCCATCGGTCCTCGCCCCTCTCCTTCCCAGCCCCCCCTCCCCTCTCCCTTGTCTCCCCTTTCCCTCCTCTCTCACTCCTATCCACCCCTCTCTCCCTCTCATCTTCATACCTCCCACGTTTACCCTCCCTCTCCCTCTCCCTCTCCTCGCCACCTCGTTCCCTCCCCCTTTCCTTACCCCTGTTCCCATTCCTCCCCCTCTCGCCCTCCCTCTCTCCCGCCCTCTCCTCCTCCCTCTCCCTCTTCCTCTCCCTACCCCGCCCCTCCTCTCTCCTCCCCTTGCCATCATCTTCAAAATCAAAGGAGGAATCACCGGGTCTAGGGCCCCAAGTGCTGCTGTTGAGGTTGGAATAGTCTGGAAGGGGGGGAGGATAAGCAGGTGGGCAAAATAAGCAGGGTCAAAAGGGTAAAAGATGAGCTGGTCCTCCCTTTGCCATAATCTTCCAAATTCAGAGGAGGAATCGCCAGGCTTGGGACCCCATGTGCTGCTGTTCAGGTTGGAATAGTCTGGAGGAGAAGGAAGGGGGTACCAGGGGCGCAGGAATAGCAAGGGCGCAGGATTATCAGGGGTGAAAGGGTAAGAGATAGGCTGATCACCCCCTTGCCATCATCTTCAAAATCAGAGGATGAATCGCCGGGCTTAGAACCTCATGTGCTGCTGTTGAGGCTGGAATAGTCTGGGGGAGGGGGGAAATGGGAGGGGAGAAGGGGAGGATTAGCAGGGGCGCAAGGGTAAGAGATGGGCTTATCATCACTCCCTTGCCATCACCCTCCGAGTTGAAAGAGCAATCGCCAGGCTTAGAAACCCACGTGCTGCAGTTGAGGCTGGAATAGTCTGGGGGAGGAGAAAGGGGTAGGGAAGTGGGGTGGAGAGGGAGGGAGGAGCGAGAGGGAACACTGGAGAGGGGAGGAGGGAGAGGGGAGGCTGGATACAAAAGCGTGCATCCAAGGGAACAGGGCTTACCATGGGGAGAGGAGGGCTTACCTGCGGGGAGGGTTTACCTGCGGGGAGGGTTTACATGCGGGGAGGGTTGGCCTGCGGCGACGGTTTACGCGGGGAAGGCTTACCTGCGGGCAGGCCTGATGAGAGGCGAGGGCGGCGAATGGGCTCGTTCATCCGATCGTCATGCTGCAACGAGAGGGGGAGCGTGGTGGGGAACAGGAATAAGGGGGGGGGAGGGGGGGAAACACGGGGAAGCAATGGGAGCGGGGACAAGGGAGTGAGTTTTAGACGAATGGGTTCGTTCAAACGATCGTCGTGCTGCAAAAAAGGGGAGCGTGGTGGGGAAGAGAACGGGAGGGAGGGGAGAAAACGGGGAGGGGGAGGGAGGGAGCGGGGGGGAGGGGCGAAAACGGGGAGGGGGAGGGAGGGAGCGGGGGGGAGGGGCGAAAACGGGGAGGGGGAGGGAGGGAGCGGGGGGGGAGGGGCAAGGCCACACGAGAAAGCAGTGGGAACAGGAGAGGGGGCGACATGGAGAGAGTTTTGAACGGATGGGTTTGTTCAAGGCAGAATAAGAGTGAGAAATTTCCTTGGAACCGACTTTTGAGTAGATTCACAAATCATTGAAAGGTGGGAGTGAGCGAGTGAGCATGTACGCACCAGGAAGAAGCGGGCTGATCTCGGGATGTGCTGCGGGTCAGGATTCACAAATTCCGGCCTGATCTCTCCCTTGGGACCTCCACCAGCAGCACCACCACCAAAACCACCACCACCGGCATCTAACCCACCATCCACGTCCATACCCTCCGCACCTTCCTCGAAGCCCCCCTGCCCTTGGTACCGGTCCCCCCAGCCCACCCTTCCCCCCCTCCCCCTTCCCCTCCCCCTCCCCTCCGCGCTGTTATACCCGCGGCTGCTGCTAAACCCGCCGCCATACCTCCCCCCGTCTAAGTACCCCTCTCCGCCGCGCCAACGGTCTTGGTCCCTCCAACCGCCCCCTCCCCTTCCTACGCCTCCGCCTCTGTCGCCGCTCGGGCCGCCGCGAAAGGCGCCGTTTGTGGCGGCCGGGGGATCCGATCCGACGGTTTCGATCCGCTCGGAGACCCACCGCCCCTGCGCTCCGCGCGCCCGCTCGGGGCTGAGGGGGAGTGGAGGTAGGGCAAGAGATGGTGGGAAGAAGGGGAGAGGGGAAGAAGATGTGGGGGGGAGGAGGGAAAGGGAGGAGAGGGGTTGGGGTTGGGGGAGGGGAGGACGGGTAGGCGTGAAAATAAGGCGAGGAATGACCCAATGGAAAACGGTGTTTTCTTTCACCTTTTGTCGGGAACCAGGTCGCGGGGGAGGGGAAATACATGCTATGAAAAGCCGATGGAAAAAAATGATAAGGAGGGTTAATCAGTGATGAAAATAACAGAACAGATTCAACGAAACAAATTCAGGAATCAACACACCAACGGTCATCGAATAGCCAGCCAAGTTCGTGTTAGACCAGCAGGAACTGTTTTCATGCATCAAATCGCGCGCTGGTACCGATTCGCGTCGATGCGCGTCGGTGCGCGCGCACCTGTCGCTCACCTGTCCTCTTCCATTTTAACGCGCGTAGGCAACCAATAACTACTGGCTGGCCGCGTGGCCGCAAACAATGAAGAGAAAGCGAACGAAGCGACAGTGAAAACGAAACCACAGCAAAAGCGGAAACAAGAACAGCAGTTGATCGAAACTCTGATCTGGGTGGTCTCGACCGGAAACGGAAAAGCAACCGCACCGTACTACAGTAAACTGGACTGCACTGCGCTTCTATGGTTTATGAGAACTCACAGGAATCGGAAGAACCTTGGGATCGTTTCCCAAGAAGCTGGTGCTCCGATAACGAGAGATCGCGTGGTCTGGAGAAGTCAAAGTTTCGACAAAGTGGTCACGGTACACCAAATTGATTCGAGAAATTCACTTACTCTTCACCACCAGAAATTCACTTACTTTTCACCACCAGAAATCAAATAAGGTATATTCAAATATGACCCACTCCAATCCTTTGAAGGCTTGATAAACAAAAACTTGTCTTGCAATAATCTAACCTATCAACATAGCAATACTTATGTAGATTGATACAACCATTTTCTTCGTGTCCCATATGAGGCGGTAAAAGGTCTCAGGTTAGGTCCCCTACCAGACCATCCCATCTCTCAGATGACTCTTCACCCAAGGCCTCCCCAGAGACCTTGTACCGCCTTATATTGTAACCTGTGACTGGCGCTGCTTCTACTGCATGGCAGCATTGCATTGACTGCAGATGCTGGAGAAGGGAGCTGGTTATTTGGGAAGAGTAGTGCACTAGTGGAGGGAGCAGAGGAAAGAGGAGTTGCAGGGAGGGAGGATCGTGAGTGCTGTGAATGTGTCCCAATCAACGGTCTGAGTTTCTCGGAGAGCTCTCGGAGTGCATCCGACAGTCGCCAACTGTCGTAGCATCTGGCCCAGTCATGTGCTGTGCCACTTTGCTGATGTGGACCTGCTTCCGCAACCACCCATTGCCACAAAATGGCATCAGATGCAGACCTCTTGTTAAGCAGCGGAGTGCCAGCAGCAGCAACAGCATCACCAGCTGCAGCACCACCAGCACCAGCAGTAGCACCAGCAGTAGTACCAGCGGTAGCACCAGCAGCAATAGCACTGCCACCATACCAGCTCAGCAGTAGCAACAGCAGCAGCAAGACCACCCTCACACCAACCACTCTCTCTCCGTTCACCCAGAAAGGGCGAAAAAAACCCTCTACTACTCCACACTCGCCGCTTCACGTCTCAACATTTCTCCTCTCACAACCACCCCGGTTGACTCGTCAAAACATCAGCTCCGGGCCCATCCGCCTCAATCGAGCACGCCCCCCTTACAGGATCCAGATTTGCTTGCACTAAAAACCTCGACCCGCGCACGCCAACAAGATTATACACCGCGCCGGTAACCGCATCCTTCTTCACATCCCCGTATTCGTGTGAGCAGATGTCGGCGTTCTCCTCGCCGTGGTCGTCGAACCACGTGGCGAGGAAGGGGCTGCTGGTGGCCTCTGCGAGTTCATGCGCCAACACCGACACCATCCCGTCCATCCCCGCGTCCCCGTTCGGGGACACTGCTCCGCGGCGGTTGAGACGAGGAGGGATGCAGCGCTTGGGACACTGTGGGAGGAAGGAGAAAGGCAGGGTGAAAAAAAGATGGAGAAGGAGAGAGTGAGCGGTGGGTCTCAAGCACAACACGATCAGGACCTGCTACGGAGCATGATAAATCATGGAATGGTTGTTTGCGGTTGCGACTTACCCTGGTGGCGGCATTGCCAACGAATGCGATGGGGAGTTCCAGAGCATCGCGCGTGTAGAAGTGCCACCCGCAGTAGTTCCTGCAGAACGCGGATTTCTCCGGAGCAGTATCATCTTCTTGCGCCACCGTTTGGTCTCCCATGACGAAATACACGCCGTTCGGGTCGTTCGCGAACTGCTTGCTGGTAACCGCGGACGAGACAAGTTTCGCCACGTCGGTGCTGAGCAGAGAACGGCCCTTGGAGTAATCTGCGTCGTCGATCTCCCCCTTTAGAGTCACATATGCAGAGATATGGTTGCCCATCGCGTCGTAGTATAGGCGATTGACGTTCCACCAGTTGGTGACTGTAGCGTCGGTGTCATTGCTGTTATTGAGTGACTCGATAAACGTGCGGATGATCTGCTTTTGCGCGTCTGTGAACTTGCCGTACCATATAAGGTACACTGAGATGGGCTTGTACATAACCCCGCAGTACTTTGTAACGGGGTTGCACACGCTGGAAACCTCGGGATCATCCCAATGCGGGTCGATGTTGTGGAAGGCGGGGGAGTGGCGCGGCGGAAAAATCGAGGCGGAGGAGGAAGGTGCGCGGAGCGCTGAGGCGATCATCTGGCTCACAGCCTCGGGGGAAGGGGCGGGGGCGGAAGACACGGCGGAAGCGGAAGAAGCGGCGGAGGCGGAACGAGCCGCGGAGTTTACAGCAGCGGAAGATGAGGAGACGGGTTCGCTGTTGTTGTGAAGGCAGAGGCGGGAGGAAAGACAGAGGATAGGGTGGAGAAGGGAGAGATGGGTGAGATGGGAGAAGCGAACGTGGGAAACTATTGAGAACAAGGCTGAGGTGCTAATAGTTGGGGAGAAATGCATTTCCGCGAATGGTGGTATTAGCGCGGCACCGCTCACCTCGTGTCGACGACTTGCGCGATCCCCTCTGGCATCGCGCCGCGCATCAGAAGGTTATCGTCCGTGCGCTTGCGCCATTTCTGCGCGCGAAGAATAAGGGGAGAGGCGAGGGAAGAGGAGAGTTTAGGCCACAGGGTCGCGGGGGAGGGGGAGAACATATGGGGGGAAGAAAGAGGGTGGGGGAGAGGGGAGGGGAGGAGGGGGAGAGGGGTGGGAAGTAGGAGGACAGCCATGACTACGACTCATGCTTGAACCAGCTATGCCTCGAAATTGACACCAATTCAATAGCTTGCTAACTGAGGTGTATAATGAGACGGCGTCTGAAGGCCGGTCAGGTATTTCTTTCTATGGCGCATCGAAAATTGCAGGGCGAGGCGAGACGAGTCTGTGCGACAATGGCGACGACTTACGAGGAGTCGTCTGTGCTGTCGCGCGCAGGCGATGGTTGAGAGTGCGGCGAAGAGGAGGAGTGCGACGATGGCTCGTATATGGAACGACGGCCGGCTGATACTTTTAATTGCCATGGGACCTGAACTGGACTCTGGAGTAAGAAACTGGAGTTACACTATCGCACAATACAGGCTGGACTCGACCAAGACTCGACCTCAAGTTGTAGTGCTGAGCAGTGTGCAACTTTGGTAGCTCGGCTTTTAGTATTGGGAGAGATATCCCGACGGACAGATTCACACGAGGCGCGACGGTAGGGGCCACACAAAGAACTGTGACGTGGCTGCGCCGACTAAAGTGGGTTGAATGGGTGCTTGGTGGGTCAGGTCACGTTCGCTCTGCAATGGGGAAATGCCTGGTGCGGATTATTGTCTGCTGTGCTGGGTGTGGTGTACTGACTTGTGTTGGCCCACGATTGGTGCCGAGAGGAAAACGGAGATGGTTCTCGATCATCGGTGCCAGGTGGTGATGGTGGTGGTGAGTCGCCCCCTAAGTGACGCACAGGGAACCTAAAACGCGGAGGCGCTGAGGCATTTGGTGAGTAGGGCCGAGAGTCCAAACATTGCGCGACCAATTCGATTTGAGGGCGCAAATAGCGCACGTCGCAATGCAGCGCAAACTGATGGAAACAGCTGGCAATTTTTCAAATCTCCAAAGCTAGCACAGTGCAACCCTGCCAGAAGGCGCCAGCGGTGGGCAGCAGAAGCCTTATTGTGAAAACGTTTGAATCGGCCTTGGGCAGGCGCAGCACAGCTCGAACGATCCCATGTTGTACTTTTTAGGCGGTCAAAAAGTTGTTGGTCAGATCAGATGGGGATGGCGTGGATTGTCGACTGGACGGTGGCCCTAGGCGCGGTTCTCCCACGTCTCGTAGGTCACACACCGATCTTCACCTCGGGTCACGTCGAGTCGCTCATTGTTTGTTGCTTGCCGAAATTTGTCGTCTTTAAGTTGTTATTTGTTGACGGAGGTCACGGGCAGTAGTCGACTTTTCACGGATAAGAAACCCGTACCAATTGTACCGGATCCGCACAAGATTGAGAACTTGCACTACGAATTTGAATGTTGATCGACTTATCACGGATCCCCACGCTACAAACATCAGCAGCTGGAAAGGACTAGTCCCACTTGATTTTCACACTACACAGAACGACACCACTTCTCATTAATAAACGCCTTGACTTCTCCTCCATTCTCCAGTCAGTGTTTGAGCATGGCTGCCTTTCTAACGGGTCCAACTTCAGAGAAAGACGGGGTTCTGTAAGTGCTGAAGTTTACGGTGGAAACACTCGATCCAGAGTGTTTTTGGAAATCGATCCTAGTTGGAACCAAATTCCGACAGGACCGGAACTCAATTATCCGGGTTTTCCAAAAACAAACGTTTTTCACAACTCTGTAAAAGGGATGAGCTAGAACGTAAATTCGGTTCCTTCGAGTGAGTGCCGTGCATGCCGCACAACATTCGGTTAGGCTAGGTCAAGGTCTGCCCGCTCCGGTCAACATTCGCTCACCTGAACTCTGCCCGCACGCTGTCGTGTGAATTTATTTTGGTGCTGCAAGGGTTTCGCGTGGCGGTTATAGAAACAAGCGCAGTCCAAACTGCAAATGTACATCATCAACACCTCCGCGACCTTTGTCCAAGATCCGCTGTTGGCAGACACTATACAGAGATGTATATGAGGTTCAATAAAAGCCTCATGCTTTTTGTAAAACAATCACCCATACAGGCCATGCAAATTAATCAGCATCAGTTACACCAATGATGAGTTGCATCAGAGCCGAGGTCCTCTGAAACCGAACACACCTGTGCGTTGCAACACATTTTAGGGTGGTATAGCTGTATAGTTCATACATAATTAGAAACCAAACAAGCTACTTAAGAAGGAAACAAGTGCATCCCAGGTACTCCCTCCTGAGGGCGTTCCAGTTACTGGTGGCTCAGGTGTAGCAACGGTGGGTGGCTCTGGGACAGTTTCAGGAGGCGTAGGAACGGTAACCGGGGGTGTGGGAACGGTAACTGGTGGCTCTGAAGCAGGTGGCGGACTGGGCGTGGTACCAGCGGAAGAGGGAGGCTCGCTCGGACTTCCCAAAGCCTCAGGCCCGTCAGACTGCACTACGCAGCGGCCGGTAACTGGGTCGAGATTCGCCTGTACGATGAACTTTGATCCCCGAACACCCTCTAGGTTGAAATACGCTCCCGTGGTCGCATCACGGGTCACATCCCCGTAGTCTCCTGCGCAGATGTCGGCGTTCTCCTCGCCCTGGTCGTTGAACCACGTGGCGAGGAAGGGGCTGCTGGTGGCCTCTGCGAGTTCATGCGCCACCACCGACACCATCCCGTCCATCCCCGCGTCGCCGTTCGGTGCCACCGCCCCCGGCTGGTTCAGGTACGGCGGGATGCAGCCCTCCGGGCACCTGGTTACTGCGTTACCAACAAAAGAAATCACGAGCTCGAGGTTGTCGTGGGTGTACGCGTGCCATCCGCAGTAGCTGCTGCAAAATCCTGACTGAGAGTAGCTTGAGTCGTCCTCTTGAGCCACTTTGGAATCCCCGAGGACGAAATACACCCCGTTGCTGTCATTGGGAAGTTTCCCGTCGTTCACTGCGGAAGAAATGAGGTCGGCGACGCCAGAGTTGTACAGAGTGGTGCCTTTGGAGTAGAGTGTGTCGTCGATCTCGCCCTTGAGAGTGACGGATCCGGAAATGTTGTTGCCTTGAGCGTCGTAGTAGAGCCGGTTGATGTTCCACCACTTGGGAACTGGCAGGAGGAACGGGTGAGCATATTGGTAAAGGAGGAAGAAAGCCAACAATGTTCAAGGGGAATCAGAGCAGGGAAGGTTAGCGAGAAATGGAGTACGTGGCGTCATGCTGTGAGAGGTACTGTGATGGAGAGAACGTGAATATGATGCCACGTATGATGCCTCCCAGGGACGAAGGGCGGGGGGCTCTGGAGAGCATTACCGGTCAGAGATGTGTCGTTGCTGTTACCAGTATTGAGTGACTCGATAAACGTGCGCATAATCTGCTTCTGCGCTTCCGTGAACACGCCGTACCACACGAGGTACACTGCGATGGGCTCGTGCATGACTCCGCAGTACTTGGCGTTCGCGGAGCACATGTAGGCGGCACTGGGATCGTCCCAGTGGTAGCCGATGTTCTTGGGCGGGGGATTCGACGCAGATGCGCCTACTTGGGCGCTGTTGTTGCAGGGATAGGACGCGTGGAAAGTACCAGGGGATCATGAGAAAGGGACATGATAGTTGAGGGAAATTCCGTCCCTGAGACTCAATTGCTTTGCGTCAAATCGGACGATGCATCATGATGCAAGAGGCGGCTATTCATCGCGTTGAACATGACGAGTTGTACAAAGGAGTGATGTTTCAGAAATGACCTGTCTTGGTCAGAGCAGATGCGTTCACACACCTGTTATCGATCAGAGCTCTGACTCCATGCGGAAGCTTCGTTTGTCGCATGCTCGCGCTGCCGCTTCTGATTCCTCCTGAAGACGCGATTTCCGTGAGACCGCGCATGCTGATGTGAGAGCCACGGATGGGCGTGTACGAGATTCTGGATAACCGACGCATCGCGCTCCATTCCTGAGAGAGGGGACGTCGGGATATGCAGAATAAATGACTTTTGAGGCGCCAACCCCGTATGCTGATGCGAGAGCCGCGAATGGGCGCGTACGAGACCCTGAATTTCCGACGCATCGCGCGGATCCATTGCTGGAGAGGCGGGATTTTCGGAAAGCGTGGGAAGAAAGTGCGGCATGAGGATGTGCCGCATTGATCGTCAGATGCAGTATCTCTCGACATATTCATATGACGCCCAGATGTGTGTGACTCAACGATCGTTGAACCCACATTTGAGCAATGTCACGGCCTTGAAGGCATTACTCAGGAAAATCTTACAGCCAGAACTTACATCGGTGCGGCTTTCCGGGATGGATGGAAACAGATCGCTTGCGGACGATGCATTTAGGAACGAGGCCCAGAGGGCGAGGAAAAAGAATGGGATGGCTGGAGAGAGCGAGCTAAGTCGAGAACGAGCCATCGTCGTGTGCCAACGATATTTCAATTCTGCTAGTGCAGGAAGACTCCAGAAGGACGAATTGATATGAAGCTTATGGAGGATTCGTGTATTGGGAATCGCTGAGCTTGCTCGACCACTGAGAGTTGAAAGAAGATATCCTGCGCCAAACTCTGATGCCGTGTGGGAGAGGATGAAAACGCAATGTCGAAGAAAAGCTATGCTTGTGGTTCTGGTTGCAAATGAATTATGGGTGCGAATGTATAAGTCGGCGACAGCGAGGAACGAACGGTTTGCGAATTCGCGAGCTCCTCTGTGAACCCCCTGCACATCCTGGTTACTGAGAGCGTGGACGATTTCATGCGAGCCCCCTCTTCGGTGCACATGATGTCGGCGAGTCGCATGTGTCTCGGTTTCCCGAAAGCGCGATCCGGATCGTCGTGACGCGGAGAACATCCCTAGCTTGTCTTTTTTGGCTGCCGCAATTGTCGTATTCTTCGGCAAAGCGATGGTGGGGGGAATTCGGCGGTGCCTTGACCAGCCAGACTCGGCACTGTACTGTAACCCCTAGATAAAACATAGGTCGGCGATCTAACGACAACGAAGAGGGGTACAGTGTGGTTCCAACGAACGGTGTAATTTACAAATATGCCCAACTTTTATCATGGCCCAGCATGAACTATCAAAAGCCAAAAAAGTGAGTGATAAACTCAATTAGTTTATCCAGGAATGATGGTGATGGTGGAGGTGGCTCCTCAACCGGCACATCCACGCTTGGAGGGGGTTCCCCAATGGTGGGATTATCCACGCTGGGAGAGTTGACGGCAACTGGTGAAATCACACAACTCCCTGCTCGTGGGTCTAAATTTGCTTGCACTAGGAATCGTGCCCCATTCTGACCCACCACGTTGTATTGCACACCACTGGCTGCATCTGATATCACATCACCGTAACTGCGAGACAGAATAAACAGATTGAAAAGAAAGAGACAGGGAAACACAAGGAAGGACCATAGGAGAAAAAGTACAGTGTACCTCGCATGCCCATGTCCAGTGTCCATCCCCTCATATACGAATCTACAGCCTACACAGTCCGAAAGACAAACATATGTACCCACAAGAGCAGATTCCTGAATTGTCCTCACCCGTTATTACTATAAGTACCCCCTTTGCCACTAGGGCTACACCGTTTTCCGAGAATTTGCCCCGAGGGCCCAGGATGTCCTGGAACGGATCTTAGGTCTTCGCTCATCTTCGCATTGGCAAGTCAACAAAGAAAACCAGATATAAAAGAACAAAATATATGACACATTCGTACTTTGAGGCGCAGATGTCGGCGTTCTCCTCGCCCTGGTCGTCGAACCACGTGGCGAGGAAGGGGCTGCTGGTGGCCTCTGCGAGTTCATGCGCCAACACCGACACCATCCCGTCCATCCCCGCGTCCCCGTTCGGCGCCACCGCCCCCGGCTGGTTCAGGTATGGAGGGATGCAGCCCTCCGGGCACTGCAAGGGGATGGGGAATGATTTAAGAGGGGGGAGGAGGAGGGGGGTGGTTTCGAGATACAATGAGATGCAGTGGATCGGTGCCACCACCCCGGGCTGGTTCAGGTACGGCGAGATGCAGCCCTGCCCTCTGGGCACTGCGTGGGGCTGGTTGAAAGAACATCTTGATTTTGATTGAGATGCTATGCACCATGATTGGGGTACAATGATATGCAAGTGTCATGTACTGTTCCTCGATGTTTGGAGAGAGCACTGATGGGGTACCAAGTATTTATTATTGGATTGGTGTTGGGGTTGGGAAGTGTGTAAACGAGACAGTGCGTACCTGATTGACTGCGTTTCCGACAAAAGATATGATAAGCGGTCGCCCGTCCTGGCCTTGAGTGATGTGTGCCAAGCCAACCGCAGTAGTGCGAGCAGAACACCATTGGTACGTCTGTGTTGACCCAGGTCACGTGGAAAGAGCTCGTACCTGGTTGACTGCGTTCCCCGCAAACGAGATGATGAAGGGTCGCCTGTCAGTCCCTTGAGTGATGTGTGCCATCAGCAGTAGTGCGAGCAGAACGCCAGTGTTACCTCTGTGTTGTCCAGGTCACATACAGTAATTTAGTACCTGGTTGACTGCGTTCCCCACAAACGAGATGATGAGGGGTCGCCCGTCAGTCCCTTGAGTGAACGAGTGCCATCCGCAGTAGTGTGAGCAGAACGCCAGAGCATACTGCGTACCCCCCGTCCCGCTCGGATCGTCCATCTGCGAAACGTCTTCATCGGAAAGGACGAAATACACGCCGTCCGGGTCGTACGGCAGTGACCCGCTCCTGACGGCTGATTGGACGAGCCCCGCCACGTCAGAGCGCAGCAGCATGGTGCCCCGGGTGTATTTGGTGTCGTGAGTTTCGCCCTTTATAGTCACATTGGAGGAGATGTTTCGGCCCTGCTTGTCGAAGTAGAGCGTGTTGATGGCCCACCATGCTGGCACTGTGGAGAGGGGTTGAGAGGGGTTGCGAAGGGTTGTGAGTCTCGGACTTAACAGTCACATTGGAGGAGATGTTTCGGCCCTGCTGGTCGAAGTAGAGCGTGTTGATGGCCCACCATGCCGGCACTGTGGAGGGGGGTTATGGGGGTTATGGGGGTCACAGGATTCCCGCGAGGAAGAGGAATGATGTGAGAGGAATTAGAGGGAGAAGGAGAGGCTTACGAGAAAGCGTTCTGCAGTCCTGAACACACTCAAGCCGAGCCACCCACCTGTGGCGTCTGGATCAATTTCTTCTGCAGCGAGGGAAGCGACAAACAAGCGCACGATGTCTTTCTGCTCCTCGCTGAACTTGGCTCCATACCACAGCAGGTACACCCCCACAGGCGCGTGCATCACGCCACAATGCGCGGGCGACGCGGCACAGAAGGCCATCTGATTGGGATCCAGGTCGTCCCAGTGGTAATCTATTCCCCGAGGCGTGAACGGGAGGTTCGTGCTGCTGCTACTGCTGCTAGATGCTGCTGCTGAATCTCCTGCTGATGCTGTTGTTGCTGTTGCTGTTGCTGCTGTTGCTGCTGCTGCTGCTGCTGCTGCAGATGTTTCATGGCTGCAGCCGATATAAGAAAGACCAGGAGGAGGCGGACACGGGGGGCGGGGAAAGGGCTCCAGAAATACTCAGTATCGCAAAGCGAATGCAAGAAAAAGGAGGGAGGAGGGGGGGGGGGGGGGGGGGGGGGGGGGGGAAGATAAAAACAAACAGTCATGCGGAGACGTGTTGCATAGTAAAAGTACCAGCACGGTCATAATAGGTCCATAGCACAGAAAATAGTAATAAAGGTACAATTAGTACAATACAGTACAGCGCAGTACGCTACCTTGCATTATACACGCGCGCAATTCCCAAGGGACGGACGGTCGTGGGGGTCTCGTCGTGGAGCCCTCTCTGGTGGCTCGAATCGGTGCTTTTGTTGGTGGAGGTTTCATCTGACTGTAAAAGTCCGGCTCTTCTGGCGTAGGTGTATCTGATGGGGGGTTCCCGCTGGTAAGGCGCGGTGGAGCGAGGCAAGCGGGCGAAGGTGTGGGGGGTGGGGGGCGGGAGGACGGGGGAAGAGGGGGAGGGGAAAGGGGAGATGAGAGAGGGAGATTAAGGATAGGGGGTTCACCAATGGCTATTGCTAGCTTAAGAATAGGAGAAGCTAGAACGGTATGGGGAACCTGCAATTCGAAGGCGCCTCGCAATGGAAAGGCCGCGAACGAGTGTTTGTGAGAATGCCTTTTTCGCGATGAAGTTTAGGAACGTCTCAAAACTCAACGGCGGGCTACGTTGAGATCCCTGCCGTAACGGGCGCTTGTGGTGATGATTTGGCGACGGAAATGACGATAAGCTGACTAAAAGGCCGCGAACGGCGAGCTAAACTGAGATCCCTACCGTAACGCCGGGCGCTCGCGGTGATGATTCGGCGACGGAAATGACGGTAAGCTGAAGGAACGCAATTAGGAGTCCCAGGAACAGCGGAAGCGCGCTTCTGAAGTTGCCGTTGAGGCTCGTACGGGAACGCCGGATGCGGCGACAACGGGGCCGCATTTTCCTGTTACTAAGAACCATTTCCTTCGTCGCGTTTTGCCTCGTGCTCTGTTCCTGGTTTAGCTATCTGCCTCAATGCCTGCACCTGAGCCGTCGAAATCCTTACCAAACTAGCAGACGTGACGTGAGGCGAGCAAGCAGGGATTCCTTGATGTGCTAAGATATTGGCAGTGGTCACGTAGGGTCGTCAGACGAATTGCAGTGGCCGCCACAACCACGAGAAGTCATCAGGCGAATGCACAGGCGGTTTTCCAGGTGTTGCCCACCCTCGAAATTGGTTATGACCTGACCACACTTTTGTTGGGCATAACTATATTTTCCTGCCACGCACAGGCGTGATTCTCTTTACAGTCGTGAAAGAAACTTTTAATTCAGGGTTACAGACACCCCTATACATTTTGCAGCTTACGGATATTTCAATTTCGAGGGTGTTTCCCGCTCAACGGCCCACCGACAAAGGGTATGGATTTGCGCCTCGGCAAATGTGCGTGCTCCCACCAACTTTAGTGAGGATGTACAGTGGCTACAGGTAAAGATACGAAGGGATTATACGTCAGCATTACATTTTAGTTGTGAGGAGGTGGTGGTGGTGATGGCGCTTGCTGTCTCTGTTTATTGGAGCCAAAAAACAGCTTCCACAAAAGTTGCAAAAGTTCAACAAGAGTTGAACCAGTTGGCGGCGACGGTGGCGGTGGCGGGGGTGCCGAATAGCCTGATGGTGGCGGTGATTTTTTCGATGGTGGTGATGAAGAGCTGGAGCCTGGGTAAGGCACAGTGGTTGCGCATCTACCTTTTGTTAAGTCCCAGTTTTGCTGAATCAAGAACTTGTAACCGTTCACACCTCCTAGGTTGTACGGAGCATTCGAGGAGTCATGGTTTACGGTGCCGAACCTAGTGGTGGAAGTGTGACACGAAGGCACACGATGTTAGGAGAAAAGATTGGCAATGAGGGGGTTTTGGAAAGGGGCATGTCAATAAACGAGGGGAAAAGGAAAGAGAGTAGCAAAATAGGAAGATCAAAGGAAAAAAAAGTTGATTGAAACTAAAAGCACGGAAGAAAAAAGCAGGAGCGGGGTGAAAGGAGAGAGAGAGTAAAAAATGGTAAAAAGTACTTACTTCCATCCGCATTTGTCTGCGTTCTCGTCCCCTTTGTCATCCATCCATGTTTGCAGGTACGGGCTGCTAGTCGCCTCTGCCACCTCGTGTGCGTACACAGACAGCAGCCCATCCATGCCCTTGTCGCGGTTGGGTGAGGAGGACGAGCTTGCAATGAGGCCCGCGATGCAGCTCCTAGGGCACTGTGGATGGGGGGTTGGTGGTGGCAGGGGGAGGGGGATAAGGGTATACCACGGACAGCAGCCCATCCATGCCCTTGTCCCGGTTGGGCGAGGAGGATGAGGAGGAGATGAGGCTGGTGATGCAGCTCCTAGGGCACTGCGAATGGGGGGAGGGTGGCAGGAGGGACCCAGGTGGGTGTATGAGCAAACAAGGAGACGAGGCCTGCGATGCAGCTCCTAGGGCACTGCGAATGGAGGGAGGGTGGCAGGAGGGACCCAGGTGGGTGTATGAGCAAACAAGGAGACGAGGCCTGCGATGCAGCTCCTAGGGCACTGCGAATGGGGGGAGGGTGGCAGGAGGGACCCAGGTGGGTGTATGAGCAAACAAGGAGACGAGGCCTGCGATGCAGCTCCTAGGGCACTGTGGATGGGGGAACGGTAGCAGGGCAGATTTGGAAAAGGGGAGAAGGCGGAAGGGAGGGGTGGGGTGCGGGACTGGGGGGTGGTATCAGAGCAACACAGACAGCAGCACATCCACGTCTGCCAGTCTGCAGGTATGGACTGCTAGTGGCCTCGGCCACCTCGTGTGCGTACATAAGAGTATACCACGGACAGCAGCCCATCCATGCCCTTGTCCCGGTTCGGCGAGGAGGAGGAGGATGAGATGAGGCCCGCGATGCAGCTCCTAGGGCACTGCGTGTGGGGAGGGGGTGAGAGGAGGGAACCGGGTGTGTGTATGCGTGTGCATACACGGACATGCACTTGTCCCGGTTGGGCGAGGAGGATGAGGATGAGATGAGGCCCGCTATGCAGCTCCTGGGGCACTGTGGATGGGGGGTTGGTGGTGGCAGGGGAAGGGGAAGGGGTATAAGAGTACACGTACAGGAGCCCATCCATGCCCTTGTCGCGGTTGGGCGAGGAGGTTGAGGAGGCAATGAGGCCAGAGATGCAGCTCCTAGGGCACTGTGGATGGGGGGTTGGTGGTGGCAGGGGGAGGGGGATAAGAGTATGCCACAGACAGACAGCAGCCCATCCATGCCCTTGTCCCGGTTGCGCGAGGAGGATGAAGATGAGATGAGGCCCGCGATGCAACTCCTAGGGCAGTGCGTGTGTGGGGAGGGGGTGGGAGGAGGGAACTGGGTGCGTGTGAGTGCATACACGGACAGGAGCCCATCCATGCCCTTGTCCCGGTTGGGGGAGGCGGAGGAGCTTGAGATGAGGCCCGCGATGCAGCTCCTAGGGCACTGCGTGTGTGTGTGGGGGAGGGGGGGGAGAGAAGGGGGAATCGGGTGCGCGTGTGTCCATACACGGACATGCCCTTGTCCCGGTTGGGAGAGGCTGGTGTGATGAGCTTGAAATGAGGCTGGTTATGCAGCTCCCAGGTCATTGTTTGCACATGCATGTCAGAAGGAGTGTGGAGAAGGGAAGGATGGAAAAAAGGAGGGGGGGCTGGAAAATAGGATGGAGATGCGATTTGAGCGGGGCCAGGAGAAAGGGCACTGTGGGGGATTTTCTGAGAATTCCAGAAAATCCCTGCAACGATTTGAGTGGGGCCAGGAGGAGGAGCACTGTGCGCAGGGCCGTACGTCCCTGGCTTTAGGGCAGGGTTGTACACACAGGGCGCAGGAGAGATTTGGAGAGCGGAGGAGGAGCGGGGGGGGGGGGTGGTTGTGTACAAGTACAAGAATAAGCTGATGTGTTCTCGATGGGCCAGGATAGGTGGCGCTAGCAACGTGATCCCTGCCAGAGATGACAGTGAGCAAATGTGCTCACCTGGGTCTTGGCGTTGCCCACCCAGCCGCTGACCACGCGGCCCTTGCCCGGGACGTCTGTGTAGGTGTGCCAGCCGCAGTAGTGCGTGCAGAAGGAGGAACCTTGAGAGGACTGGGATACGAGATGAGGGAGATTGGGGTTGGGGTTGGGGTTGGGAAATGGGGAGGCAGGAGTTGAGTCGGCACCTCAACACACGGCTCTTGGCGGAGACGAGGATGTAGGTGTGCCAGCCGCAGTAGTGCGTGCAGAAGGCGGAGCCTTGAGAGGACTGGGATACGGGGGGGGGGGGGGGGGGGGGGGGGGAGAAAGGGGAGGGAAAAGGGGAGGGAGAGGCGGAGGGAGAGGGGAGACTTGAGTTGAATAATGCTCTAGGCCCTTTTACTAGCCCCTGTGGGTTTGGAAGCACATATTTTGCCCGAAAGCATAGATAGCTGTTGGGTCTACATGCCTCATTCAGGGTTCAGGGTGTCATTTCAGGGTGTCATCTCAGGGTGTCATCTCACCTGGCTGACCGTTTCATCCGAGAGAACGAAGTACACGCCGTTTGGATCGTACGGCAGCTTTTGGCTGCTTATGGCGGACGAGACGAGCGAGTCGATCTCGCTGTCGCTGAGGCTCGAGCCTCGGGAATACCCGGTGTCGGACGTTTCATCTGCAAATGTAACGGAGCTGGAGATGAAACGCCCGTTACGGTCGTAGTACAGCTGGTTAATGTTCCACCATAGGGGTACTGTGTGGGGAAAGGGAGAGAGGAGGGGGGTGGGGGTGGGGGAGGAGGGATGGGGGGCAGGCAAAGGGGAAGGGAAGGGGAAGAAGGCGGTTTGGGGGGGAAAGGCGTCGGCAGACGCGCGGTTGATGTTCCGCTATAGGGTCGCTGTGGGGGCGAGGGGGAGGGGGAGAATGAGGGCGAGAGGCGCGGAAGATCCGAGGCAGGAAAAAGGGGGCAGGGGGCAAGGAGGATTGGGGAACGGGAGTGGGGGAGGGGGGGTGGCGGAATACGAATATAAAAACGGAAATGCGAAACGCAAATGTCAGTTGAAACTTGCAACAATTCGAGAAAACGTACCCGTTATAGAGGTATCCGAGCTGGGGTTGAGCGAGCGCGTGAATGCGCGCACTAGCTCCTTCTGCGTCGCCGTGAACTTGCCGTACCAGATAACGTACACCTTAATCGGCGCGTACATCACCCCGCAGTACGGACTATTCCGACACTGACGGCTGTTCCACCCCGGACTAATCCCTATGGGGCCCGCGAACGGCTTTATCTGAGTATTTCCGGCAGCGCCGGCCGCGCCGGCCGCGCTCTTCCGACTGTCGCCGCTCACACTTCCGCTGCTCACGCTACCGCTGCTCTCGATACCGATGGTGCGGTTCGAAGTGGAGGATGCGATAGTGCCGGAATCGGAGACGTCCGTTGATTGCGGCGTTGTTGTGTAATAGCTCGTGGGCAAAGAAACGCCGCGTCGCACGTTCTGACCCGTGGGAGCCGCCATTGTGGGATAGAACCGCATGGGGCGGCGGGAAGGCGCTTCTCCGGCTGCTAAAAGCTGCACCATTCCCCGTCTACTTCCGCTGATCCTTCCACCGACGCTACCGCCATTGCTTCCGCCTGCTGTCTGAGCGCAAGACGACGCCACCAACAGGAGCGTCGAGATTACGACCCTAAAGCTGCGACGTCGCATACTTTCTCTATGCCACGCCATTCAGGACGGCTGCCACGTCAGCCTAGAACGGCCTACCGCGGCAGGTTTCGGTTGAGACAGCGAGGGTGGGAAGAGTGACTCAAATTCGTCGTCCGCAACGACATCTGGTTGCGGGGAAAGAATCCTGACGCGCGGAACGGCAGCGCACGAAAGTTGGAGGGGAAAACTCGCGTTTATGAGGAAAACGGCGCACATGCGAGGGGGCGAAAAAGGGGGAGGAGGGAGAAAGGGGATGATACAGTATGTTGAGGCGGAGGCCCTACAACTCTGCGGGAGGGAACAACCCAGGACCCTCGATTGCGTGGGGGCCAGGCCACCCATAAATTTGGTCCAGAAAATCGAGATCTGTAGGGTTGCCCATTGGTCCTTCGGCCCTGAAAATTGCGGGAGGCGGCCCAACCGAACCTGCTGGTGACAAACTTACGGAATTACCTGCGCTAAAGGTTCTAGAACCAATGAAACTCTTAGAATTGATTTTTAAACATTATTTAACGCGGGTCAATTCTCCAGTGTGATATGGCATGACAATAAATTTAGAATTGCCTCACATACGAAGGGGCAACACGAATATTGCACGAGTTGCTTGGAAGTGGGAAGGGGGTAATGTGTGGGAAATCCCCGTGGGTTTACAAAGTTGGCAGGCGTTGGGAAGAAGTTGGAGAGCTTTGAAGGGGTTCTAAGGAGTATGAGCCTGTGGAAGCATTGAAAGTGGTTGACTGAATGAATTACATCTCGAGTCGCGCAATGGCAGTTCGATTTGCAGGTTGCCACTTCCAAACCGTATACAGCTAATGCCCGACCATTGCACGCGAATTTGCCATGCACCGTATGTAAACGCTGCACCCGAGCTCACGCACCCTGCTTGCTGCTCCCACAGTACAAGCACCTGGATGGCTGGCTACAGTACACGCGCTGCGGCCACCAACGCACGTGCAGTCCCGAACAAGGCAGGCCTACCCTGGTTTGCCTTGTTTCTAGGCCAGAAGTCAGGCAGGCGAAATGTAAGGACGAAACGTGAGTGGTTTTGTGAACGCATTCGCCCGACTGCCACGCCACCTAAGCGAGGTTCATCGTGCGTGTAACAGACATTTGGGCAGATTCACACTGCCACGTGTAGTCTGCACCTGTGGGGTACAAGCGCATTATCAGCCAGGCATTGTTCGCCGACCCCACGTCAGACATTCCATCGTGTGATTACCAAGCCACACAAGCGGAGATTCAAGATAGGTGCAAGGAACTAACAACGGCCACACGACTAGGACGAGCCACACAGAACAGGCCCCACGAGTGACACAGCACGCCCGCCATCCGAAGTTAAAATCAGACCAACGAATTCACAAGAGCATCGTTCTCACACACCCCCGCCTCTCACAATGCCCCGTTTCCATCGTCGTGACTAGCACGATTTGCGGTAAATTAGTCAGACAGAACCACATCCCGATTCCTGATTCCCCTAGGCGAAGCATCGGTCAGACCCTCTGTCATCCTCACAGCTCTCAGGAGTTCACAGGGTGTTGGTTCATAGCTACTAAAAGTATCCACGCTGTTGGAAACAATAAGTCTTAGTGCGCTTCTGTCGTGTCAAAACCCAAGACACTAACGAAGCAGTCCGAATCGAAGCATCGAGTCAAACCTCGGAGGTTAAGGTAACCGCCTGGAGGTTACGAGAAAGTCAAAGGTCAGCGACCTTTGACTCGACAATTACAGCGCGACAGTTAAGGACACACAACTGACTCGTTACAGAGAAGTTGCCCGAGTCGCACTGTATCGAATCGCAACAGCAATACAGTTATCTATCTATTCGTATTCCCTGTACCCTTATATAAAACCTCGTATTTGCTTGTTTAATTAAATCTACTTTGCTCTCACACACTAGTGCAAGGTCGGTTCACAAGTTTCATTTAACGCTTCCGCTATTACAAGTTTCCTACCCAGAGTTATCCTCTGCAAAGATCCTTAAGGGCCTTCTCAGCCCAACATGGTATGAGAGCTGACAGGGGAAACTCTAAACTTTTTATATTACAAGACATGGCAACAAACAAGGAAAGGAGCTCCCCTAATGGCTCCTCGGGCACTACTCCTACTCCACCACCAGCCTCTGGCCTGCAGACAGAGGAAGGCACGGCAGCAAGACCAAGGGGAACGTCAACCGAGACCCCCACGAATCAACCTTCTGACCTCGACCAGAGCATGATGGAGAAATTCTTCTCCTTCATGTCCTTCTACGAGCAACACCAGCAGTCGGGACCTGCACAGACACACAATAGCAACAACGAAGCGACACCCATGAGCCTTGATGGGTCGTCATATGCGCGAGGGAATCAACAGCAGCAACCCACCTTCGCCCCGTACGAGCGCGGTGTGAGAATAAGCGAACAGGAATGGATCAACTAGAAGTGAAAAGAGTACAAGTAGTAAACCCTAGAATTGTGTACCCCCTATAGGCTAACCCACTGTAGCCTACACAAGTATAACATATATAATGTTTGACACACCCCCATAGGCAAAGTGGGGGAGAACAAGGGGTCACAAGACCAGTCAAGCAAAGCAAAGCAAGCTCAGGGTGGATCACAAAGTCACCACACAGTCCGAGCACAAGAGCAGGGCCAGAGGCCAGTTCACATGCAGGAGTACAGACATATATATAAAACTAGACAAGCAAGAGCAGGTATATATATATGTCACAGTACAAGTAAAGTCAAGAGGAGAGCAAGTGAGGCAAGACAGACACAAGACCCAGCTGGGTGCAAAAGCGCTGATGATCACAAGGCGCGAGTGCCTTGGTGAACACATCAGCAGTGTTGGCCTCAGAGGCCACGTACGCAAGTCGCAACTGACCACGCTGCTGCAGCTCACGAGCAAGGAAGTAGCGGAGAGCAATGTGCTTCGTTCTGTGCTCCAAGCGCTGCTCTCGACACAAGGCCAGCATGGCCTTGTTGTCTACGTACAGCACTGGAGGAGAACGAGGCGGCTCTCCAAGGTCAGTCAGCAGGTAGGTGAGCCAGCGAAGCTCCTGTGCAGCCATGGCCCCGGCGTAGATCTCAGCCTCACAACTGGAGCCGAGAACCGAAGACGAGCGAGTAGACCGCCACGAGACAGAGCCGGAACCAAGGCTGAAGGTGTAACCCTGTGACGACCGCTGCGTAGCCTGGTCGTCAGCCCAAGAAGCGTCCGCGTGGCCGGTAAGGACCACTGGACTCCGCCCTCCAAGCACAAGCCCCATGCCCGACGTACTGCACAGGTAGCGCAACACCCTCTTCGCTGCAGCCATGTGCTCTGGTCTGTGTCTCCCAGGAGCAACATAGCGTGCAAGAATGCTCAGAGGATATGCAAGGTCAGGTCGTGTGCAGGTCATCAGGTACATGAGGCAGCCAACAAGCTCTGCATACGGACCACTCGACTCTACGGACTCATCCGAAGGCAGAGCTGAGAGTGAGTGGCGAGTAGGCAGAGGAGTGGCCTGAGGCGAGGAGTACGTAAAGCCGAAGCGCTGAAGGACCTGCTGCACCATGTGTGACTGAGTCAAGGTAATGGTGCGGCGTGCTCTGTCCCGAGTGATCTGCAAGCCAAGGTAGCTGCGCAGTTCACCCAGGTCTGTGCACGTGTGTCTCTTCAGCAGTTCGGACTTCACGTAGGCGAGTCCAGCAGTGTCCGCTGTGGCAAAGACCAAGTCGTCGACGTACACGAGGATGTAGAACGGCGGCAGTGAAGTGTCAGTGCGCAGAAACAGCGACGGGTCAGCAGTAGAAGGAGCAAACCCAAGAGCCGCAAGCGTAGTCCTCAGTGTGTCGTGCCACTCACGCGGTGCCTGGCGGAGACCGTAGACTGGCCGTCGGAGGCTCCACTGGGTGCCAGGAGGGAAAGTCCCAGTGGAGCCAGGTGGACGGCGCAGCCAGATCTCCTCGTGCAGGCTACCCTGCAGGAACGCAGTGCTGAAGTCGAGAGAGTGAAGCTCGTAGTCGCGCTGAGCGGCTATGTGCAGCAGCACCCGAAGAGTGGTCATCTTCGGGGTGGGAGAGAAGGTCTGAAAGTAGTCAACTCCCTGCCGCTGACTGAAGCCACGAGCAACGTACCGCGCCTTGAAGACAGGTGGAGAGCCCGGCGGCCGCTTCACCCGGAAGATCCACATGCCACTGACGATGTTCGCCCCAGGAGGGGGAACTGCGTCAACGTAGGTGCCTGTGGACTTCCAGGAAGCCATCTCTGCATCCATAGCTGCCTGCCACTGAGAGGAGTAGGGACCCTCTACGGCCTCCGCGTAAGAACGCGGAGTCGGGATGTCTAGTGCATCCGGGTCTCCCTCAGGGGCAAGCAGTACAGACGCGAGATGAGGTGAAGCAGCCGCTAGACACTGTAACTCCTCCTGTCTGTCCTCTAGGACGTCCGTGCCAAGAGCACACTCACCCCCGACGGACGGAGGACAGACAGACGCAGACTCAGCAACAAGACCAGCAGCGTAGTCGAGACGACAGCGAGCAGCA